TGTCTCCTTCCGCCCTGGGTCACAGGCTGGTTCCCTCTGGGCTGCAGGTTTGCTTTCCCATATCTGAGCTCGGGCACACGTGCCAAACGCCCCGCAGGTGGAGGAGGGAGCCTGGCTGGGCCTCGTCCTTGGCACTGGTGACCAAAGCGTGGGTTTCCTGAGCCGGTCTCAGGCATGTGCCGTCGGCCTGTGCGTGGGCAGGCGGCCCCCTGGTCCATGGTTCTCCTGAGCCGCCCTGGCCCTGGTGCTGCCGGTCTTGTAGCCATGGTGCCAGGCACGGCTTCAGCGGTACCAGGAGCAGGGCTCTGTGGGCACGGCCCCGCCTCGGCCGTGAGCAAGGCGGGGAGAGGGCGTGCCCCCTTGTGTGCGAGCGCCCGGCCGCGCTTGGCGTAGGTCCGGTGACTGGTGCCTCGCAGCCTGGATGGTGCAGGGCCGAGACGCGGCAGGGACATGGCTCTCTCTCCAGTTCCAGGACCACATCAGGACGTGTGGCAGACGGCGTGTGCCCTGCAGGTTCCAGGCTCTTGGCTGCTCGGAGCTGGTGAGTCCAGGCCATGTGGCCATGCTGGGACTGAGGGCACCTCCCCGGCTGTCCCCAAGCACCCACCCCACCGTGGAGTCGCAGGCAGCCCCGCCTCGCTCACACCACCCTCAGACACTCCACGGCCACACTGTTCTCAGCCCTCGGCTTGCTGCCCGGCCCGGCAGGCGGCAGAACTGATGTCCACCTCACACTCCTGTCCACGCTGACAGCCCGGGGTGGCCCCAGAGGGACCTGGATAGACCCTGCTGTGCCTTGCTTCCTTCAGCCTGGTGCCGCCTATGCTGTCTGCCCCTCCCTGGGCACCGCGAGCCCCTGGAAGCGGCCGGCTAGAGGGTGTCGTCCCAGAAGGGTGGACAATGCGCGGCCCCTGCCTGACCGTCGAGGGCCTGGGAGTGGGGGTGCCCTGCAGCACACTAGGTGACCATGGCTTCCTTTAGGGCCCACCTTGTTTCCAGCGGCTGCGCGGAGAGCACGGCTCTGCCTACTCTGGGCCTTGCCAGGGCGCGGCTCTTGCTGGTGTGTCGCTCAGACCTGGCACCCACCAGGCCTGGCTTTCCTGGGAAGGCGGTGGTTTCAGAGAACCCTCTGTGGGCCCCAAGTGCCTGCTGCCACCGCCTCAGCCCTTGTTCCTGGGCCCTCTTGGTGGTCAGAGATCAGAGCCACAGGGAGCCTGGCATGACTGGCCAGCTCAGGCAGAGGGGCTGGTGGCGGCCTGTGCGTCCGGCCCTTCGCCACACCGGGCGGTTCCAGCGGCGCCTGAGGCACAGGGTCCTCCCCAGCGTCGTCTCCTAGGTCCCGCGTGGCCTCCTTGCTTCTTTTTCACTTAGGTTTTCCAGAGCGTCTTTAATAGTTGTGTGGGGGAAGACACGTTTATAAAACATGGTGTGTTTAAGGACGTCCAGCACCCCCCACTCCCCGCCACCCCTCGCCTCCCCACGCGCGCACTTGCCAGGGAGAGCATCGGTGTGCTGCGCCACATACCTGCCCCCCCGCACCCCTTCTCGGCATGAGTTCCAAGCCACCGGGATTGGGGTTGGAACCACGTGCCAGCCGCGCGTCATCAGCCCCCTTTTCTGCTACGTGGGGCCATCCGTGGTGACCCTTTTTGACGGTGTTCTCTTCCTCTTTCTTTATTTTTCTCAGAGATGTTTTTACCGTAGGGCATGTGCGTTCGCTAGAGGCAGAAAGAGAAATCCCCCCAGGGGGTGGCCACACTGCAGCCCCTTCTCCACCTCAGGCTTTGGAGCACGCACACACACCTGGTGTGAGTTTCAAGCCACCGGGTCTGAGATGCGCACTGTGGTCAGCCATGTGGGAGCCCAGTGCCTTGGCCAGCACGCCACCCACTGGACCCTCCTCCCTTTTAGTTTAAGTTAGCTAGTGGGTTTCCAGGAAGGCCTGAGAGTGCAGGTAAAGCGCTGTCGTGAACTCGAAGCTAAAAGCCACTCCAGGCCACAGTCATGCCGGGGCACGTCCCCGTGCCCCTCGCCCTCCGTCCCGCTGAGGCCCTGGCGTGGGACGGCTGTGCATGCCAGCAAGCCACCCTGCCTGTGCCCACAGGTGGAGGGCGAGGGGCAGCCAGAGCACGAGGCCCAGTGGCTGCAAGAGCACCTGGGCCTGCTGCTGCGCTGGGCCCTGGAGGTGGGGCCCCCAGCCCGGGAGCCCGGCCAGCCGGAGCCAGAGCTCCTGCAGCGCTGTGAGAGCCTGGAGGGGAAGACGGCCACCTTCGAGAACATCGTCTGCGTCCTGAACCGGGAGGTGGAGAGGGTGGCCGTGACAGCCGCGGCCTGTAGCCGGCAGCACCGCCTGGACCAGGACAAGATCGAGGCCCTGAGCAACAAGGTCTGAAGCCCGAGGGTCCCGGCAGGCCTGAGGCTGTGGGGCCAGAGGGTGGGGAGGCCGGGCCGCCCGGCAGCCGGCAGCTGCAGCTTCGTCTCTCTGATCTGGGGACAGCCGTAGTAGCACTGGGCCTGGGGACACGGGGTGGCCGTCCCGCTGGAGCTGGCGGTGTCACTGAGGGCGGGGTCCCGGCGCGCGGCAGGTGCAGCAGCTGGAGAGGCACATCGGGCTGAAGGACCTGGCCGTGGCCGACCTGGAGCGGCGGGTGCTCGAGCTGGAGGCCTGCAGCTATTTTTTTTTGAAGATCTCCTACTCCGCCAGGAAGCGCCATGAGGCCGTGGCCGGCCGCACGCCCGCCATCTTCTCCCCAGGTGCTGTCCCGGGCCTCCCCACCCGAAGCCGCTGCCCCTGGTCACGTGGGATGGCCCCCAAGGGCAGGGCCAGGCACACCCTGGCTGGCCCAGGAGCGCCTGTCAGCCACCCGGGCCAGTGGGCCCTTTCAGGCAGGAGTTGTGACTGGGATCCTGGCTGCCCCCGACACACCTCATGCTGTGCGGCCCCCACGTTTGGACCCGCTGCGGCTGGACAGGGGCAGACAGCATGGCTGTGAGGTGGGAGGGAGGGGGGCAGGCGGGGGGCCCCTCCGGGCTCTGGGGCTGCAAGGCTGAGCTGCTTCGACCCCCCGGTCAGCTCCTGGTGTCTGCCGAGGCTCTTGTTACCCCTGCGTCTTAGCCCAGCCGCAGGGTCTCCTGGGGAAGGTGCTGCAGGGGGTTCTGGCAGGACCCGCTTCCTGACCCCCGTTCACTGACCTGTGCCCACACCCCTTTGGCCGTGGCTCTTCCGGAGCCCTGGCTCTGGAGGTGGGGCTGAGGTGCCCCAGCCTCCTGCCATTCAGGGTACAGTTGACACTTGGCCACCCTGCACCTGCGCCCTCAAGGCAGTGGGGGACCCTGGGGGCTGCATGCGGCTTTGCCAGGGACGGCCACCTGCTCTGTGGGTGTCCTGGCCGTGCCCGCAGTGAGTCGGGAGTGGACAGCAGACGCCCACGCTGGTGTGGACACCGGGCCACCACAAGGTGCCTGCTCTCTGGTGGCACAGCCGTCGCCTTGCAGGTGGGCTGGCTTAGGTTCTCAGTCTGCTGGGCTCCAGGTCCTTGGGGATCTCCGTAGTGGCCCTCACAGAGGCCCCATGGGACAGCGCGGAGGCCAGAGTGCCTGTTGGTGGGAAGACTGCCTCCTGTGGGGACAGGGAAGGCGGCAGGCTGGCGGTCTGGCCGCAGTGGGGGCTCTACTGGCGTGGGTCACACCGTCGTCATGTCACATGACTGAGAAAGCTCGCCCGCCATTGCCGTCCTCTGTGCTCCTCACTGGATGTGAGCGTGTCGACTCTGCCACTCTGGACACAGCCCCACCGGCACTATCCAGGGCAGGTGGGGCCCACCCCTCGGCCCTGTGCCTCCTGACCACCTCTCCACAGCCCCTTATCCACCCAGCCATGGGGTCGGCTAGAAACGGCAATTTCAATTACTATTTAAAACAAAATATTGGGACCAGCAGATGGTGTAGTGGTTATGCCACTGGACTCCCACGTAGTCAACTGCAGTTCAAATCTCAGACCCGGTAGTTTAAACCGTACTGGGTGCGAGTGTGTGTGTGCCCATAAGTCCTGAGAAAACAATGGAGGAGAAGGGTCTGTGGCGTCATCCCCCAAGGGGTGATTTCTCCCTTTCTTTATCTCTGGCGACTGCACGTGCCCTGTAGCAAAAATCTCTCCATAAAGTACATAAATGAGTAAAGTATCGGGCCAGGAGGTGGCATGGTAGTTAAAGCGCTAGATTTTTACTTGACTGGCCATGGTTCGAGTCCCAGACCTGTCTCACCTTCCCTCTCTCTCTCCCTCTCGTGTGTCATATTTAAAAAATAATAAGTGGAACCAGCAGCTGGCGTAATGACTGTGTTGCCGAACTCCCATGTAGTCGACTGCAGTTCGAGCCCAGGACCCGGTGGCTTAAACTCACCCTGGGCACATGTGCGTGCATGCCCAAGATCCCGAGAGGAGAATGGAGGAGAAGGGATTGCATTGTGGCCACCCCATCCCCCCTGGGGGTGATTTTTCGCTTTCTGTGTCTGTCTTTCTGGTGAGCGCACGTGCCCTCTAGCAAAAACCACACACACAACATAATAATAATAAGTAATTGAATAATTGTATCTTTTAGAGAGAGAAGAGTTTGTTTTTGCTGTAGGGCACATGTGTTTGTCAGAGATACAGAGTGGCAGAAAGCAAGAGATCACCCCCCCAGGGAAGATGACCACACCACAATTCCTTCTCCAATCTCCTCTCTGGATCTTGGGCACGCACGCACACGCACCCAGCGTGAGTTTAAGCCACCGGGTCTGGGACGCGAACCGGGGTCGACTACATGGGAGTCCAGCGACATAGCCATTACGCTAACTGCTGGTCCCCCTGGTGTGGGTCTTAACCCGCTGGATCCGGGACTCGTACCACAGTTGACCATATGGGAGTCCAGCGGCGTAACCATCCTGCCATGGGCCCGTCCCCCAAGTTAAATAATTCTCTAAAAGAAATGGCGGCCATTGGGAAAGTCATGACGTGCCGTTCCGTGCAAAGACGTGTCCTGGGTCCGACCACACGCTTTCATCTGTCGGCGGTTGGAGGGAAGTGCCCTCCGTTTGCCCCTGGAGCTGGGGAGTCCCGGTGGGGGTCTCCCTGGGGAGGGGCACCCGGTGCATCAGCTCACCCCCCCCACCCCCCCCGCCTTCTACACCAGCACGCAATGTGTCTGCGGGTCTACCTGAACGGCGACGGCACCGGGCGAGGCACGCACCTGTCCCTCTTCTTCGTGGTGATGAAGGGCCCAAATGACGCACTGCTGCGGTGGCCCTTCAACCAGAAGGTTCGAGGAAGGGCTCATCTGGGAGCCTCCAGGGCAAGGGCGTCCAGGACGGGGTGCTCATGGCCCGGGGTCACCACGCTGGAGCACTGGTGGCTCCTAGTCTGCCCGTGGCTTCTGAGTGCCGGTGCTGACTGGGTTTGACACCCACCAGGCCCAGCCATTGGAGCCGTCCGTGGAGTGTTTGGGAAGGGGTGTGAGCCCAGCGCCTCGTCTGAGTGGGGACCAGTCCATCTTTGGTCAAGGGATTGAGGGTGCAGACACTCGCTGCAGAGGGCAGGCCCTTTCACCTCTCACTCGGGGCCTGACCCTGTGCCGCTTCCCGCACTGGCAGCCAGCAGGGGTGGGGTGGAGCAGAGGGGCTGGAACGTGCCAGGGGGCATCAGTTCTGCAGCTCCGTGGGCAGGCTTAAGTCTCCTGAGAACTGCCCCTGGGTAGCAGCTTCATCACCCCTCAGTGGAGAAACGTCTCGTGAGGGTGGATGTCGAGAAATAGCACAGGCAGGGGACCAGCAGTTGGCGTAATGGCTATGTTTCTGGACTCCCACATAGCCGACAGTGGTTCAAGTCCTGGGCCCGGTGCCTTAAACTCACGCTGGGCGCATTTGCGTGCATGCCCAAGATCCCGAGAGGAGGACGGAGGAACAGGGATTGCGGCGTGGCTGTCCCCCCGGGGGTGGTTTCTCACTGTCATCGCGGGTACCCAGCGTCAGGGCCTCCGAGCTGAGCAGCCGCCCTGCGGTCTGGTGCCTAGGCCTGGCCGTCAGGACTGGGGCATGGCGGGCGCGGTGCCGGTGTCGGCTCAGTGCACTGTCCCTCCCAGGTGACGCTGATGCTGCTCGACCAGAACAACCGGGAGCACGTGATTGACGCCTTCAGGCCCGACGCGACCTCCTCGTCTTTCCAGAGGCCGGTCAGCGACATGAACATCGCAAGTGGCTGCCCCCTCTTCTGCCCTGTCTCTAAGATGGAGGCCAAGAACGCCTATGTGCGGGACGACGCCATCTTCATCAAGGCCATCGTGGACCTGACAGGGCTCTAGCCGCCGACGCTGCATCCGCGTCGGGCAGCCGGGCACGCCCGCCCAGCCAGCAGGGCCTCGCCACATGGGGCCTGCTGCCAGGCTGCCACACGGGGTCTCAGACTACGTGGATGGGCCCCAGGTGCCTGTCCACGGTGACACCTGCCCAGTGAAGGGAGCCCCAGTGGGTGCAGAGGAGGCAGCCGCTCCAGGAGGAGGGCCTCCAGTGCTGGCCTGGCCGGGCCCGTGGCAGGAGGCGGGGGCCCTCGGGGGCCCT